TGCTCGGGTATCTCGGGTACTCTCGGGTACTCTCGGGGAGTCTCGCTCCTGCAATGTCGGGCGACTGCTTGTTGATTCGGACCAGCACCTCGCACGAGTCGCAGGAGAGTCCTGCGGCGCGGGCCGAGTCGCGGCGTCGGTAGGCGGGCGCGGCGATCGGGGGGGGGGTGGGGGGGTGGGGGTTGGGGGGTGGAGGGGGGGTGGGGGGGGGTGGGGGGGGGCGGTTGGGGGGGAGGAGGGAGGGGGAGGGCAGGGAGGGCGGGGAGAGCAGGGGGTAGGGGCTCGCCCTTCGAGTCGACCGACGAGAGGTCGTCGACGAAGGAGTCGAAGCCGATCTTCTTGACCTGCGCGCGAGGGAGTGGGCGGGCTAGGCTGAGGCGCGCGGGCAGGCCCATCCCTCGGCACCGTCCAGGGGCCATCTAGTTGCACTCGTTTGAGCGGCGGTGGCCTGGCGCGGTGCGGTGCGGGCAGGCGAGGAGGGGAGGGGGTGGGCTGCGCGCGGCGGGCGCGGCGCGCCTCGTTGCGGACGATCTTGTCGTAGTCGAGCTTCGCCGCCGTGGTGATCTCGCCGAAGACCATCACCATGTTGTCCTTGGTGCAGGTCTCGCAGGCGACCTGCCGACCAGCGGGCAGAGGAGGCTCACAGACCGGGGAGGGAGCGGCGCTGCCCGGGCTGGGGCGAGGCCGGCGGAGCGGGGGCGGGACGGGCGAGGCTCGGCCGGTGGGCGGCAGCGGACGGGGCCGGGGCCGCGCGCTCCTTGGAGTACGGGTCCTCCTTCAGGCACGCGTCGAGGACGGCGTCCGACACCTGGTCAGCCAGCTTGTCGGGGTGGCCCTCGTTGACAGACTCGGAGGAGAACATGAAGATGCGCTCCTCGGCGGACGTCTTGACGCGCTTGGCCGACATTGTGTTGTGGTAGGTGGTCTGCAAGCGCGCCGAGACGGACCGGGTGAGGAGGCGTGGCGCGGCGGCGGTCGTGGTGGTTGTCGGAGGTGGAGGAGCCGAGCGAGGAGCGGGCGCGGGCGAGCGAGACGGTGCGCGCTTGTTGGGCCCGCAAGAACCTTTTGTGGGATTGGCTGTGTCTAGGGGATCGGCTGTGGTCCACGCGCCTCGGAAGGGAGTGGAAGCTCGTTGAGAGAGATGTGTGCGCAGAGATTCAGGCTCTTTTTTATGCCAGCCACGTGGCATAGGAGAGCACGAGGTGAAAGGAGGTCAGCACAAGTTGCAAGGACGCACGAGCGAGAAGCACAGCAGAGCAATAAAAACGGACACCTCTCTACTGTGAGATGGGTAAAAAGGAACAGGTCCCCGCCCTTGCGATCTTTGTGCAGGCAGGGTTCTTTGTGGGTGTGGTCGGCGACTAGCCGGGGTCGTCCTCCCGATGGGGGACTAGCACTAGCCGTCTTCCACCTGGTCCCTCGGGTCCCTGCTGCTCCTAATCTCTTCGTACAACGTACATCCTCCTGCTGATCTCCGCAAATTTTCCGGGCTCTGAGCCGAGTCTGAGGCTGGTTTGCCATTGGGCCCAAAATAAGCCGAACGAACCGGCAAAAATCCCCGGTGTTTTGCGGGCATACACACCTGAAAACCCCGGGTTTACCTGGAAAATACCTGACTGAGGGAGGGTGTAGAGGATGTAGAGTGTAGAGCGCTGTAGAGCTGTAGAGCTGTAGATAGAGCGCTGTAGAGCGCTGTAGAGCTGTAGAGCTCTACATCCGGCGCGTGACGATGTGAGTCGCCTGTAGAGCGATGTAGAGGCGCTCTACAACGTGAAATCTCTACAACAAACTCTACATCATAAGCGGCGAACGAGGCACTCGCTCTCCGACATGAGGCGCGTTGCACTTGCCAGTGCTGCCCTGGCCTTCTGTCTGCCCGCCCAATGGGTGGCAGGTGCCTCTGCTGCTGTGGCATGCCTCACGGCTGCGGCTGGCCGGCGCCTCGGCGCGTCAGCTCGGCTCGGCGTAGCGATCGTGGCCAGCGCAACTCGCTTGGACTCAACGCTCAGCCAGGAGCTCCCGCACGCGCTGGCGCGAGTCATGGTGCATGCAACGCGCCTGAATGCTCGCCTCGCCTCGCGCAAATGCGACCGTCCTCGCAGCCGACAGTCCACCGCCTGCTAAAGAAGCACAGCGACGAATGCGGCACCGGCGACGCATGGCAGGCTGGTCATGACGCAGTCATAGGGTGTTGTGTGCCGTCAGAGTGACTCTCTGTGTGTCAGGGATAGTCAGGGCCGTCCACCAGAGCTCCAGTAAGCTCGGAGACATCCCCCATTAGTGCGACTCGACCTCTTTGAGTCACTGCCTTCCCGGCAGTTTCACTGTAGGGCTGTAGAGCCTCTACAACAAACTCTACAGCAAAATCGCGCTCTACATCGCTCTACAGGCGACTCACATCGTCACGCGCCGGTTGTAGAGCTCTACAGCTCTACAGCGCCCCCCTCATCTACAGCTCTACAGCGCTCTACACTCTACATGTCGTCTACACCCTCCCTCAGGAAAATACCAGGTAATTTTGCCGGTTTCCTCGAGTTTGCCTCAGATTTGCAGGGCGGGGACACATGTCCCTAAATCCCATCTCGTCTCAGCGTTTGACCGTTTTTATTTATTTATTTATTGCCTCAGATTTTGCCCCAGACCCAGCTCTCAGTACTCAGACTCCAGGGAAACTCGAGAGTTGCCTGAATGGAGCACCAAACACCCTCTGGTTTCCATGGAATTTTCCGGAAACGCAAAGTGCTGGGGACCCTCTGGTTTCCCTCTGGCGTCTGGGTTGCCGGAAACTCTCATACAGGCCAATACAAGATCGGCCCCGCCCGCCCTGCGCCGTCGGGCCGAAGTCCTTCCCGACTGTTTGCTTTGTAAGAAAGAAAGAAAGAAAACACACAACCCAAGGGAGGGATGGGAGAACGGCACGCCGCCACCACACAGGGATTTTAAGGAGAGGAGTGTGGTGCGCTAGCCGTCGCCCACCCTGGGGAGTCTGCCTCTTCCTATCTCTCTTCGCAGTCTCTCTCCGATTCTCGCTGCAACCTTCATGCCACCTCGCGGCCGTCCCACTCTCGTCGGTCTCTCCCTTGTCACTTCCTCCTCTGTCGCGTCGTTCTCTTCTGCCTCGTCCTGCGACGCCGCCGCCTGCCGGTCCCTTGTTCTCGCGGCTTCTTTCGCCTTGCGCAACTCCTGTTTGCTGTTTGCTTTGTGTGCAACCGCGTCTTCCCTGCTCTACTTTTAGTGCTCTACATCGCTACATCCTCCCGATTCAATTGCGGCGCCCCCACTGATAAGGCGAACTCGTACGTTCCATCGATGACACGCGGTTCGCTCACCTTGCGTCCTAGGTCGGGTATGCTGGTAGACGCTGTGCTTGCTTTGCTTCGCCCGCCGCCCGGCGTGACGCAGCGCGAGAAAGAGCTGCCCGTGCGCGCGCCTGCCTCGCCCCACAACCACCACTGCAGCGACACCGTGGTCCGTGCATGGCTGCACGCCGTGCTGCGACCGCCGCGCGAGCGGCTCGATCCGAGGCTCGAGATGACGCGAATCTGGCACAATCGGATCGCAGCCGGATCGCTGCTGAGCGCGCAGCCGCGGGTCGCCTCCATGCCTACTCTCCCCCGCGACCCCCAAAACGAGCCCGTACCATGCTCGTCCCATTTTATGCTGCTGACGCTCGTCCGCCGCCGCCTGCGCCCTCGCAGATCCACAAAACAACGTGGACGAGGCGGGCGTGCCGCGGTGTCCTGAGGCCCTCGCAAAGTACAACCAGACCATGTGGGGCGTGTGGGACACCATCGACCTCATCCCCGTCGTCGGGACCGTGGCTCGGGCTGGGCAGGCCGTTGGGGCCTGTTGTGACGGACTGGGATTCTGAGACGCCGTCACCCAAAGCGCAGAACTAACCCTCGGAGACCCGTGTTTACTTTAAGGCCCTTGCCCTGCGAATGCGCACCCCCCCTAGCTAGGGGTCAGGGCTCTCTAGCCCGTAGCCCGATCCCGATCATCCGGCCCGCTGGATGCGCTTCTCAGCTCACCGGCCCTGGATGTGAGGTCACCGACTGCACTCCAAGTGCTCCAAGTCTGAGTCGTCTGACTCAGCAAATGTGGTGGCCGCGCTGCGAGTCCTCGATTTGCCTCAAGACTTGATCGCGAAAATCGGTGCGCACCTACCAACAGCAAGTCTGCTCCCCTTTCGGCGAACTTCCATTAAAATCGCACGGACAGCGGTCAGTTCTCTCTTCGAACCAATCTTCGAACCAATCGCGGAACGAGCGCATGCGAGAGCTTTTGCACGGAGAAGGAACGCGTGCAAGGCACTTATCGAGATCCTCAAAAAACATCGATTGACCATCGCTGACCTGCGAGGGATGACCAGGTTCAAGATCAAAAAGTTAAATGAGGACTCAGATTATGAGGACTCAGATTTGGAGTGGTGGGCCCCAGGCCAGGCCTTCGCTTGGTTCTTGAGAACCTACAAGAATGGGGTTCTGAAAACACTCGATCTCAACCCCCTCGATGCCATCGAGATTGGCGACGAGGGTGCCAAGGCGCTAGCATCCGCTCTTCGCGTCAACGAGGCGCTCACCGACCTCAACCTCGGCGGCAATAGCCACATCGAGGAGGCGGCCCTCAGCATTGTGCGTGTCGAGCGGCATCGCAACAAGCTCACCTCGCTCGGCTTGCTTTACTGCGGCATCGGCCCGACTGGTGCCGCAGAGATCGCCGACTTCGTGTCGGTCAGCGGGGTGCTGACCCAACTCGATCTCGGACAGAACGACATCGGCGACGAGGGTACCAAGGCGCTGGCCTCCGCTCTTCGCGTCAATGGGGTGCTGAAAAGCCTCGACATCTGCGGCAACAAGATCGGTGACGCGGGCGCCAAGGCGCTAGCAGCCACTCTTCGCGTCAATGGGGTGCTGACCGACCTCAACCTGAGCGAGAACGAGATCCGCAACGAGGGCGCCGCTGCGATCGCCGAGGCGCTGCGCGGCAACGGGGTGCTGACCTACCTCTGGCTCTGGCAAAACAACATCGGCCACGAGGGCGCCAAGGCGCTGGCTTCCGCTCTTCGCGTCAACGAGGTGCTGACCGGTCTGTTCCTAAACTCCAACAGAATCGGCGACGAGGGTACCAAGGCGCTGGCCTCCGCTCTTCGCGTCAATGGGGTGCTGACCAAGCTCGTTCTCTCCCGCAGATCTTAACCTTGGCAACCACCATGGGCCGGAGGAGCTCGCCTTCCTCCTCCTCTTCCTCATCGTCGTCGTCGTCAAGGCCTCCGAAGGCTCCGAAGGCGCCCCCACCTTTCATAAAAGAAACACGAAATGGGGTTAGGATTCGTGGTTTGGCCAGTTGGCGTCACCACGCCAAGCTGCTGTTTTGCATCGGAATGCCAAGCATGTCGCCGTCGCACTCTCGCCACGCGCCTGCCGCACCGCCGCTCTCCTTGTTGGCAGGATTTGCCGTTGGCGGCCTCCTCGGCTTTGCTGCCGGCCGACACTCAGCGGCCACGTCATCCTCGCCGGCCGGGTCGCCTGTGGCCGGCGACGCGCCTGCAGCATCCGCGGCAGACTCGGCGGCCTCGGCTGTCTCGCCGAGCAGGCGTTCCGACCCGCTCTCGATCCACGCCGATCTGCACCGCATCGCGCTGCAGACGGGGACCGACAAGGCGACGCGGCACCAATTCACCCTCTTCTACCCCTTCTTCCTGGAGCACCTCCGGCAGTCTGCGTTCGATATGCTCGAGATTGGCGTCTTTCAGGAGCAGTCCCTCCAGATGTGGGATCGGTACTTGCCGCGTGCGACCGTCTTTGGCGCCGACAAGAAGGCGTACACGTCGCCGCGCATCCTGCGGCTCGACCAGGGCAGCCGAGCCGACCTCCGCCGCGTGGCGCGGCTGCGCAACTGGTCGGTCGTGCTCGACGACGGCAGCCACAAGCCGTCGCACCAGCTCCGCACGTTTCGCGAGTTCTTCCCGCGGCTGCCGCCCGGAGGGGTCTATATCATCGAGGACATCGAGACAAACTACTGGGCGCGCGCCTCCGGCATGGGGCTCAAGCCGTACGGCTGGACCATGTCGGACGAGACGGAGGAGACGGACATGGTCGAGCTCTTCCGCGCCGCCGTCCACCGCGTGCTCAACCGCGAGTTCCAGTGCTGGCGCGACGCGCCCGTCTTTAGCGGGGCCCTCGACGCCATGATCGGCTCGGTCTACTTTGTGCGCAACGCTGTCGTCGTGACCAAGGCGCCGCGCGAGTACGTAGACACGCGCAACCGTGGGCGGGCGCACTACCGGTTCCGCTTCCTCCAAAACTGCTCTGAGGAGCGATGGTGGCGTCGCGGGCGGAAACTCCAGGCCCGGCCGGACGGCGGCGAGCGGGTGAGGCAACCCTCTGCCGTGCCGTTTGCCGCCCGGCCTAGGCTGTCCTCTTTGGAGCGTGTCAAGGCACCCACATCTCCTCCAGTAGAGGTGTAAAACGGTCAAGAAACCCCTGCGTGACACAGCTGCGAGAAATACGGCTATCGGCTTTTTGGCCTTCTATGGGGTGCGCCCAGGCCTCCAGCCCTCGCTGCGTGAGAGCGTGACGGCACCACTGTGCCGTGTGCGCGCCACTGGCAGCACCTCTGAAGTAGTCTGGGGCCCCACCACTTTGTGTGTGTGGAGAAATTTACCTTCCCCCTTACCTTTTACCTTATAGTCTTGGGGGAAATGGTATTTTTGGTATTTTTATTATTCCTCCGTCGCCGCGCTGCAACGCCAGTGAGGGCGGGTTCGCGTCCAGCGGCGCATCACGCGCATGGTGCACCGATCAGACTTGTGCGTTGTGGAAAGTGCACGGCACAGCTAACCGTAACAAGGGGGGGGGGGCTGGCGTTGCCCGGTGCCACTCATGCTCTTCTGTCTTCAGCCGCCTGCCGCTGATCGCCGCCAACTTCCGCAACGGCCACACGCGCGCCGTGGCATCCTGGCCAGAACACGCTCCGATCCAGGGACTTGCGCCTGGGAGAGAAACGCCCCCAGATCTCTCTGATCGCGCGAAAAGAAGAGATCGAGTGCGGAGCGCACTGCAGGGAGCACGGTGCTGAAGTTTGCCGGCTGCTCCGCGGCAAGACGCTGCTTGTGGCCACAGCTGTGCCAGCAGCTGTGGTCGGAGAGCGCCTCGAGAGACGACCGGCGCTCCTCGAGCGCCGTGCGCGGCACGCCCAGGAAGGCTGCAAGCCTCTCTGCCGTCCCTGCGGGCTCGGACGTCGTGTCCTCAAAGCTTACGACGAGCAGCTGAGGGCCGTAGGCAGCCGACCAGAGCCGCAGCTTGGCCGCCACGAGCGAGTTGGCAAGGTACCCCTTGCAGCCGCGACGATTCGGGAAGACAGGCTGGATCCAGCAGCTCTCGAGGGCGCACTGCCCCTCCTCCGGCAGCGGCCTGGGAGCCACAGGCCACGGCGGCGACCAGCGCATGTAGTTCTCCCAGACGTTGACCGGCGAGATGTCCCACTGCTGGGCAAACCGCGCCGCCAAGTCCAAGGCGGCACTCTTGCGTGGGTGCGGGGTGACTGTGCTGCTGGCGTTTGATGGCCAGCAGCTGGATAGGAGAGCCGCCATCTCGTCCTGCACCGCCTCCTCAAAGGTGCGTGGCTCGCAGCGAAAGGAGCGCATCCGCTCCGCGGCCTCGCGCCGCACCGGGTCCGCCAGGACTGCAGCCGGCAGGCGAGGCAGGAGGCACTGGCGCCGGTTGTTGATGTAGGCCGAGAAGGCGCGGTCGGTGGGTTCGCGAAGCGTGAGGATGATCCTGACGCGCGGCAGCACGCCCTCCCTGGGTGGGAACGTCAGCGGCAGGGCGCGAAGCGCTCGTGGACTGCCAAAGTAATCGGGTGTCGCGTCGGTGACCCACCCATTCTGCAGCATTCGCGCCATCTTTGCTTGCCGCGAGAAGGAGGCGAGGCACGCAAGGGCGGGCGAGGAGGCGTTGAGGGCGCAATCAGAGTGCTTGCCTTCAAAGAAATGGAGTTCCTTGTTGCCCAGGGCCTCAGGCCCGGCGTGCTCTGCACTGACGAGCCCAAGCACGCGCAGCAGGATGGCGTGCAGCTGGCTTGTCCCCGCCTTTTGCAGCCCAATCACAAACACAGCGCCCTGCTCGATTGGCGGAATCATGCGCGCAAGGGGAGGACGGGGACAGCGCTCGCTCTCCTGCGGCACTCTCGGCTACTTCTGCCTACTCCGCGTGCGTCCCCGCACCCACGCCCCGTCCCGAACGGCAGCGGGGTGGCCAGGGAGGGGCGTCAGCTCGGTCGTCGCACGTGTCAGAACGGACGGTAATTCCTTTTTGTATTTTAGGTAAAAGGCTAAAACAATTGGAAGCAAAGAATTTTACCAGAGCTCCCTCTCACGCTGGGCACGAAGAAAGAAAACAATACCTTCCCACACCCGGAGGTGGACTGCTAACAGGGTTTGCGATCGATGAGGAGCGACTCGTCTCCTCTGACTGACCGCGAGCCATCTCGGGTCCGAACGCCGTGTCAACCGAAGCGCGCCGGCGCCCCCCACTCGGGCCGGCACACGCTCTCGCGCTCGCGCGCTCGCCCTTCCTTTGGCACGAGGCACAGCCGGAGGACAAGCGAGTAGCGAGGGCGGCGGGCCGCGAGCGACGGCGCCGAGACCCGGTGGAGCACGTCCTGGTGCATGAGCACGCACCGCCCTGGCCGCGGCTGCACGAGCACGCCCACGCCGCGCTCGTCGTCGAGGAAGAGCGTCTCCGCGTCCCACTCGCGCCGCCACTCGTCGTCGACGTACACGAGCAGCGAGACGAGCAGCGGGCGGCCCGACGCGCCGTTCGTGTAGTCGCCGTACGCGTCCCGCCAAGCCGAGGGCGGCATCGCCGCGGGATCGGCGTCCACGTGCCAACAGAAGCAGTGGCCGTACACCGCGGCGTTCGCCACCAGCGACGAGTACACAAACTGGCCGCCCTCGCCGCCCTCGCCGCCCTCGCCGCCCTCGCCGCCCTCGCCGCCCTTGCCGCCCTCGCCGCCCTCGCCGCCCTCGCCGTCCTCACCGCCCTCACCGCCCTCGCCGCCCTCGCCGCCCTCGCCGCCCTCGCCGCCGCTGCCGCCGCACCGCGCCGCGGGAGCGACCGCGGCCGCCTCGATGCGCGCGACGTCGTACTCGGGGTAGAGGCGCGCGAGGCGCGTGTGCACCTCGATAAGGCTGCGGGGCGGCCGGCGCTCGAGTGCGCGCAGTAGCCGCGGCCGTATGCCCCACGTGCGCGGCAGCCCCGCGCTGTCGACCGTCGTGCGCTCCCATCGGCCCGCCGGCGGCTCGTGGATGCTCGGTGCCGCCAAGTCGTTCGGCGCAGCCGCGTGCGCGCCGCCACCGCCGGCCGCGCCTCCTCGCGCGTCGCCCAGCAGCAGCCGGAGAAGGTCGGCACGCAGCGCATCGTCCACGAGGCCGTCGAGCACCACCACGCCTTCGCGCGTCGCGCCAAGCTCGGCGACGAGCGCCGGCCGGGCCGCAGACGGCTGCCACGCGCACTCGCCGTGCACCGCCACGTGCCGCCACAGCCGCGCCCCGGACGCGGCGAAGCCACCGCCACCGCCACCGCCACCGCCGTCGCTCTGCCCCTCGCGATCCCAATCGCTCGCGCCGTCGCTCGCGCCGTCGTCGTCGTCAGCACGATCGCGCTCGCCGCCATTCTCGTCCTCTGCCGCCGGCGACAGCGCCTCGTCGCCGTGCTCGCTTGCCTCGCCGGTGCTCGTCGGCTGAAGCTGCAGCCGCTGCCACTCGAGCAGAGGGCGCAGCCGGCAAACGTCGGCGCTCGCCGTGCCGTCGGCCGCCTGCTGCTGCTGCCGCTGCTCCCACGCCATGAGCGCGTCGGACCCGAGCGCGTCGCCAAAGCACAGCACGCTGAGCACGTTGAGTGCGAGCGCCGCGGCGCCCGCAGCGTCGAGCAGCGCGAGCACCGTCGCGACGGGCGCGCGTGGCTCGGCGGCGGCGGAATGCACGGAGGCGGCGAGCTCCTTGACGGCAGCGGTGGCCCTCGGTGAGCTTGCGTCGTGGCCAAGCACGGCCTCGAGGGCGAGGCGCACGCCATGCCGTCGGGCCAACCCACACGCGAGCGCCTCCTCCTCCGCCAAGCGCACCATCTCGTACACGGACGGCTCGCACGCCGCGAGCCGTGCGGCGAGGGATTCGATCGCGGTGCCCATGCGTGCC